ATGGGGCATGTCAACCCGTCCAAGTGTATTTCTGGCATGAAATAAAAGCTGCTCATAAGAATCCATCAGCCGCGCGGATGGAGCTTGGTAAAAATTCGTAGGTTTCTCTATTTTCTGGTAAAACATCAAGACGCAAAACAACAAATTGGATGAGAAGCTCAGCCGAAAGTCGCATCAGCGGTTGCAAAGTCCCAATTATATATTTATTTCTTCTTCTTCTTCTTCTTCTTCTTCTTCTTCTTCTTCTTATTCTTCTTCTTCTTCTTCTTTACAGGCGTAGACACCGCTTACGCGATTATAGCTGAACAATGCGACATTCATTCCCAACCAGTAGAGGCCCATAACTCTTACGCAAAATATTTCTCACGAAAACTTCCAAATGCGATTCAAGAGATATTGTTATCGTCCATTTCTCCGCGCCCAATTGTAGGACGGGAACGATGAGTGGTTGGAAGAGTTTGTTTTTCATTCGTCGAGAGTGGACTTTACTTTTCAATTGCCTACTCAGTCCAAAGTAGCGAGAGTGATTCTGCGTTGGATTTCCGAGCTGACATTGTTGTTGGTGTTAATACTGGTTCCAATATAGACAAAGTTATCTACCACCTTAAAGTTATGACTATCAACAGTGATGTGGGAGACGAGTCGCTAATGCGATGACTGTTTGTTTGATGAAAGCAAATATTTCGCCTTGTCTTCGTTCACTGCCCAACTCATATACTTTGCTGAAGAAAGCAGAACTCACGACTCGGTTTTTGAGGCTAATAACGTTCATATCATCGGTGTCCGCCAGCAGCTGTACCCTCATCTAGAATATTGTACCTTCTCTATTCGGCTCTGCAGCTCGTATTATTTTCTCCAGCAAAAAATTAAAGAAGTCACACGATAAGGAATCACTCTGTCTGAAGGAATCCCGTCTGGGCTTCTCTACCCATTTGTGCTGTGCTTCTCTATGTTTTCTCTAAAAAAAGAAAAAGACCCGACCGAGGCTCAAAGGCATGATCCCGCTTATAACAGGAATTACTTGCTACCCACTCGTCTTATTCCGGAAAAGAAGGATCCTTTAAGTCTTATCAATATGTGATTCGAATTTCCTGCAGAGTAAGTATGATTGTCCGCGGCAAAAAGTAATGTCCCTGCAATCTTACAATTTCTACACATTTACAACAATACATTCATATTTTGAGTCTATCCACCCGAACTGCAACGAGTTAAGAATATGAATTTTTCGAACATCATAAGAGGGAAACCGACCAATAAATAAAATTGAATATAAAAAAGAATAAACAAACAATGACAAACGAACACCTGACATACACATACATACATACATCATATGTATGTATGGACGCAAGCATAGACCCATAAGAACCAACTGAGAGTAATTCGCTTGCTTTACGCGGCTTGCTTGCTGATTGCAAAGGTAAACTGCGACGACAGTCAATGTCGGAGATTCTTCTGTCGCTGAGTTAGTCGCTTCGTCATCACGTCACTCGTTCGCTGTTCGTCTGTCCATTTCATTAAAGCGGACTGAATAAACAGTCCAACCGACCATTTGGTTGGTAGGTGGGACTTGACTAAAGAGTACTCAGGTGTTCCGAACTCGGTTGTGGTAGACAATTTGTAGCCGTCACCAAAACAGAAAAAGGGTTCAAACAAACTAAAAAAAATAAAAGAAATCAATAAATAAAAGGCACGCATGCGCGAACAGAGCAAGTAGATGCATACACACACATATATATGTAAATATATACTTGCATATAAAACTTGGAAGTAAACGGACAAATGTTACGTATGTTGAAGGTATGAGGATTGCTGGCGATAGCTGGAATTTTAAAGTGTTTTCTAAGGATTTACACCTTTCCAATGCAAACACTCAAATATAAATAATACATATGTACATCGGCATGTACATATTTATGTATGGGTATCCAAATAGTGTTTTTTCTACATCGCTGTCCTCAGCTTTATGAGAGTTCTTTAATTTATTGTTTATTTTCTGTTTTCCTGCCTAAATTAGTAGTTGTGTGTGCGCAATTTAAAGGGGTTTTCTTAGGTTTTTTCGATTCGATTACTACTTTAAGTAAACATACATAAGCATCAATTTTATTTTTTTTTGTTTCAGTTTAATTATTTTTTTATTAAATTTAATAAAATTATATGTACTGATTTGTTTTGGTTTATTTTTATTTATTTATTTACTTAACTTTTTATTTTATTTTATTTTATTTTATTTTATTCTATGTCGGTATATTTAATTTTTTAATTATAATAATTTAAAGAAAAAAATATTATTTTATTTTATTTTATGCAGATTTTACTTTATTTTATATAATTTTATTTTGGTTTATTTTAATTTATTTTTTACAATTTATTTACTTTATATTATATATTTTACTTCATTTGAGTTTATTTAATTTAATTTAGTTTTACTTTACTTTATTTCATTTTACTTTAATTATATTTATAATTTTACTTAAACTTTTTTGATTATTTTATTTTAATTTTATTTAATGTAATTTTTTATACTGTTTAGTTTAATTTATTTTGATTTATTCATTAATTATGTTTCACTTTAATTTATTCTATTTTTTTAATTTTAATTTTTGAGTTCAATTTAATTTAATTTTATGTCATTTTATTTTATTCGACAATTTTTTCTATTTTACTTTATTTTGTTCATATTGTAAAAATTATATTACTTTATTTTATTTCATTTTATTATATTTTAATTAGTTTAATATAATTTTAATTATGTTAATTTAATTTTACTTTAATTTATTTTATTTCATTTCATTTTACTTTATTAATTTTTTTAATTTTATTTACATTTTCGTATTGCATTTCATTTTACTTAATTTTCTGACTATTTTATTTTATTTAACTGATTAGATTTAATAGAACTTTATTTACTGTCTTAGTTTAATTTATTTTGATTTATTTATTAATTATGTTTTATTTTAATTTATTCTATATTATTTTATTTTAATTTTTTAGTTCAATTTAATTTAATTTTATGTCATTTTATTTTGTTCGACAATTTTTTTATTTTAATTTATTTTGTTTATATTGTGAAAATTAGATTACTTTATTTTATTTTATTTCATTTTATTTTGTTTTACCTAATTTTTATTAATTTAATATAATTTTAATTACTTTGTTTTATTTTATTTTATTTTATTTTTTTTTTTAATTTATTTAATTTTAATTAATTTAATATAATTTAAATTACTTTATTTTATTTTACTTAATTTTAATTAATTTAATATAATTTTAATTAGTTTAATTTAATTTTACTTTAATTTATTTTATTTCATTTCATTTCATTTTACTTCATTCTTTTAATTTTATTTACATTTTCTTATTGCATTCATTTTACTTTATTTAATATTATTTTATTTGACTTTTTTTTATATCATTTTATACATTTTTCATTTTATCTTGTTTTTATTATATAATTTTATTTTAGGTTATTTATTTTATTTTATTTTTTACTTTAATTAGATTTTTATTTTAATTTATTTTAGTTTATAAAATGATATTTTATTTAATTTTAATATTTTTCATTTTATTTTTAATAATGTTATTTTTATGTATACCACTTCATAATATTTGAATTATTTTTTATTAAGTTTAATACAATTTCATTCTATCGTTTTTTATTCAATATTATTTTATTTTAATTATTTTATATTATTTTTTATCTATTTTATTTATTTCACTTTTTTAATTAGATTTAATATAATTTAGTTTCATTTTAATATATTTTATTTTCATTAATTTTTGGTTATTTCATTATATATTATTTCATTTAATTTTATTTACTTTATTTCATTTAATTTTTTATTTTATTTCAATTGGCTTTATTTATTTTTTTAATCTATTTTTTTCTTATTTTACCTAATTCTATTTCATTTCAATTCATTTAATTTTATTTTTGTTGTTATTGTTTTTCTATTCATTTAATTTTATTTTTGTTGTTATAGTTATTTTTCTTTATTTTACCTTATTTTACATATTTCAATAATTTATTTATTTAATTTTTTTTCCATTTAATTATTTTTATTTTTGTTTTACTTTATTTTATGTTATTTCTGTATATGTAGTTAAATTTATATTTATTTTTATTCAATTTCAGTTAATTTCTTTTATTCAATTTTCTTATTTTATCATCATTTAATTTAGTTTTACACTCCTTAGGTTTTTATCTTAATTGTTTTATCTTATTATACTTTATTTAATTTTTTTACATTATTTTTTAAATTTTATTATTTTATTCGCTTTTGTTTGATTTTATTTTGCTGTTATTTTGTTTCGCGTACTTTATTTCGTTTTAATTGATAACAATATTTTATTTCTTGCTTTTCAATTCAATATTTTTTTCATTTTAATAATCTAATTTATTATTATTTAACTTTTCTAATTTTTTTTATTTTATTCGCCTTTATTCGAATTTTATTTTATTTTATTTTTTTATTTGATTCAACACAGTTTTATTTTATTATTTTATTTTAAATTATTTAATATCTTTTATTTTTATTTTTTATTTAGTTTAATTTTTTATATGTTTATTTAACTTTCTGTTAACAATTTTGAAAGTGTGACCAATCATGATGTAGTCACGCGCATAACGCACTCATATTGTGGACCAAGATCATCGATCTGATCTCCATACCTACTCTAATTCAAAGCCTCCACAAAATACATACTTACCTATTAAGTATGTACATACATATCTCGATTTGGAGATAGTAATTAAAACGAATTTCAACACACATATCAATTGAGACACCACCACTCAAATCGACGCCTTATATATCAATACACGAGTACGCGCTATAAATCAAACGCAACTACCACACGAATACATAAATACGTGTATGTAGATATCTACATACGCACATACGCACATATGTATGTCCATCTGGTCGCGGAAGATTAAATACCCATTTACGTAGGTTCGCCATCATAAATTTGTTTTTTGAGTAATGTATTTCACTTACCGTCAATTCATGTCGTTCACGCCTGGCAGGTACATTTGCAGTTAATCCCAACTCCGCAACAATCGCCCATAGCCACACGACTATAAAACTGCTAATGTACATAATTTACGGACTTGTCGCGAACGCGCGAGGCACAGTTAATAAAACAAAACAAGACGAAAATAATTTCAAAAATTTACAACAAAACTTAAACTCCTCGCTGTCACACGCACACACGCAATGAATTAAATCTTTTCAAATTAACTGACGGCAAAGAAAAGCGGCCGACAACAGACAAAAATAGCGGACGAAAGAAGAAAAAAAAACTACTCAATACAAAAACAAAAAGAAAATATTTATGGTAGTAGTTTAGTTGTGAAAAGAAAAAAAAACCCAGTTAAAACAAGTTCGTTAATGCACTGCACCGCACGGCGAACACAACAGAGAGGCCGAAATGCCAAAACCGAATTTGTCGCCAATACATGGAGCGGTCCAAAAGCAAAATGCGTTTGTTTGCCTGTGCGTTTGCGCCTTTTTGTGTGTGTTTGCACTTTTAAGCCATCAAACGATCGTAGAACGATCAAATGGACCCTTGATCGACCGATCGATTCGTTTGGTCAATATTTCGGTTGTTTATTTTTCACTTGTTTGCCTGAAAGGAAAATTCAAAAATATCAAATTAGTAAATAAAATATACAAAAGTACTAAAAGCAAGTTATTAGAGGAAAATGTGTTAAAATATTTTTTTATTTTTTTTATATTTTTATTTTTTTTTTTATATTTTTATTTTATATTTTTTAAATTTTTTTTTCATAATTTCAAAGACAATTTCCCTTAAGTTTCTTCTACAAGGTTTTTTTTTTTAACGGCTGTCAGAAATCACGAGCTCATTTGATATATAAATTTTATTCTCTTTTAAGCGACCAAATCATTCAAGTTGAATACTTTCTTTAGGTATATCAAACCGAATTGGGTAGACCTTTGAAGTAAGAAAATTTAACTTTATTGATTAATCTGACTCCAAATGTGTACACACATTAAGATCAGAAATTTTTCGGAAATTGTCATTTAAACTACCCGCGCTGAATATTTTATTCAGCACTTTTTTCGTTAAGTTCATAACACTGGCCTTAATTACTATGTCAAAAATGAGCGCGATCTGTCAAACAGTTTGTTTGCAGCGGCTGTTGAAATCAGTCGACCTCAGTACCCTCTGCGAATTTTCTTTTACAGCCTGAATTGAGTCAAAACGGGTTCCACAGAGTGGCAACTTCAATTTTGGAAACAGAAAAAGGCCGCATGAGGCCAAATGAGGTGAAAGCGATGGTTAATTGATGGTATTGATTCAAAAACTCGGTCTGAAAATCATTCAAAACGCATTATCGTCATGAGAGTTAACGGAAATTGTTGAATGTTTTCTCTTAAACGCCTCATAGCAAGCTCAAATAATACTCTTTACTGATCGGCTGTCCTGTTGTAACGAATTCCGAGCCGAGAAAATCGGAAAAAAACAATTTCCGGAAACTTTTAGGTCTTAATTATATATGAAATAGCAACAGGATTTCTATAACCGATAAATAGATACTAGAATAAATGTATGTATATATCTATATAGGCACTTATACGAGTAATTATATTCAAGATAAATTTTTATGCTAAACCAACAATGGAGGCACCCCCATTACTCGACTTTCTACTAACATTATTGATCTAGTTCAAGAACCTGATGTGAATTTAAGTGTCTCTTTTTTTTTTTTTTTTTTTGTGAAGTTTGTTTCAGGTTGGAAAATAACTAGAGGTAGCCAGACCTTTGGGAATACATTTAATTCGATAATTATTTGAAGGCAAAGTTTATGGATTTATTAAATACTAGTTTTTTTTCTAATTATATTTTTATTATTTATTTTATTACTTTTGAAATAATATTTACAATCATTTTCCACCATTTTGTTTAATTTTTATTTTAATTAGTATTTCAAAGAACGCTTAAAACCCCTTAATTAAGCATCAGCTAAGTTAAAATATTAATTTTAATTAATTTATTTATTTATTATGCTCTTGATCCAGCCAATTTGTATGTGTGTCACTTCTTTCCTGCCCAAAATATTTCACTAAAATCTCACTGGGAATGCCTCGAAGTAAGAGAGCGAAGCGAAATTATCCGTGAATGATTGCCACTAAAGTAAGTGTTATTTATGTTTCGAGTATATCAAGCTTGGTACCTGATCCCTAGTCCATTTCAAAATTGCTGTTGACATACGGTCCACTTTGTTTTTTTCACGCAACTGATGTGGCACCCATGTATCGAGCTTCAAAGTGTACCCAACCTTTTTTAAACGACGAAACGCAGTTGATTTGTTGACGTTCAATTCACTGGCAACCTCTTCCGTCGAAATACGTGAGTTATTCGCAACTAAAGTCCTTAGAACATCGTCATCAAGCTCAGAAGGCCGTCCACTGCGAGGTTGATCTTCGAGGTTAAAATCTCCAGAACGAAATTTCGCGAACCATTTCTTTACTGTGCGGAGTGCTGGAGCACGGTCCAAATAAACTTCGCGAATATCTTTAGTTGCAGCGCCTACTGTTTTTCCTTTGCGGAATTCGTATAACATAATATGACGCATATGATCTTTTTCGTTGTCCATCTTCCATGCGTCTTTTCACTAAGCAACTCAAATCAAAATGAAGTTATTTTATGCTTGATTTACAGTTCGGACTGTCACCTTTCCAACGATATATAATATGTATATATTTCTTTCACGAGCGCCACTCTCAAACGATTCGAACGGCATCCAGCGGAATCGGGCACGAACTTATGCACTCATCCAATACGATTTTTTTTTCGAAATGGTCAGTAGCCCGTGCACCTCCTGAACCATATAACAATATATGAACCATATAATTAAACTAAAAAATATAAATAAGACTATTCATTTCTTTTGAAAAAAAAGAACATTGTTAAACTTAACTGTCAAACCAAACATGACTTCTTTAAACGTGGCTACGTTTCGTGCTTTGCAGTTAGTCCAGAAATTGCTAAAATTTTAATGAAATCGCTAATGTAAGTGTAAGTGTAGCTGAAGGCCCGAATGTGTCTATTTCTCGACGTTTACAACAACTGAGACTGTATTATGGCTCATTATGGCGTATTTTGTACTTGGAGCTACACCTACATCCATATTACAATCCCACAAATAAAACCAGCTGACAGTTCACAACACTCTGCATACGTCGATTGGATGCTTGAACTACAAGCGGAGAAAGGCACTTTTTAAACAAAATTTATTTTGGCGACGAGGCACATTTCCCATTCAAGGTGATATGTAAATAAGCAAAATTTTCGGATTAGAAGCTCCAGAAATCATCAAATAATTGAAGAAAGGCCATAACACTGTATGTTGCCTCCTTTGACTCAGAGGTGTGATTTGAGCTTACTTCTTTGAAAATAACAACGGCAAGACCGTCACTATCTATACGGAGCATTATGATCGTATCGATAACCTACATTTTTAATCTGAAATTTGATAAACACGACTTGGGCAATATGGGGTTCCAACAGTATGGCGCCACACACGCCACACAATACGGGCGAAAATTTGCTTTATTGCGACCTCTAGTCTTTGGTATGACAATCGGTCACCGAGATCGTGTAATTTGACACCGTCGGCTTTTTTTTTGTAGGGCTAGGGGAAAGAAGGTGTTTAGGCGGATAAACGTTAACCTCTTGAGCACTTGAAAACCAACATTCGTCAAGTTATCTCAGTCATAATATGTGCCGAAAATTACTTTAAACGGATCGATGTTTATTTAACTTTATTTTCGAAAACAAATAACGAAGATATCAAACGTCGGTATTTTAGATATGAAATATCTTAGAGGTTGCCGACATAAATCTCCGCTTGGAATTTTAAGATGGTTCTAATAAGATTTTTATGCGGTCCTTGGGTTGTTATTATTATGTTTAGCTGTTTAAAAAATAAAATCAAAATCTACCACATATTCACCTAGGCAAAAAGCTTTCTATATACATATGTTTAAAATTTGAAGCGAATCGAACCATAAATATGATTCTTTCGAATAGATCTTTTTCGAAAAAACTAATTTCTCCATGCATTGATATGCGCAAAGACCCAACAAGTTTCATAGATTAAGCAAAACCGAAACTTCGAATCGATTATAGACCTACGTCCCAGAAAAAATTCTTAGGCCCAAGGCTAACTCTGTACAAAATTAAATAAAATTCCTAATAATTGCTCCTATTCAAACGTTAAATACAATATTTTTCATATACAATAGATCGGTCCCAGGAAACAGTGTTACCCATGTCATTTTAGGTAAAAAGCAAGGTACCTACAGTTACGGTCAAAATCTTAGTAGTGATTTTGCTAATTAAATATAAGTCATCATAAATTTTTATTTCGGACTTTCTTTTTCGCTTTCACTGTAAATACCGTTAGGGTATGTTAAGATAGGATTATTGTTGTTATTGCAATCGGCTAAGTTTTGACTGAAAATGTGTGTTTGGCCAGTCAAATTCTTAGTAGCGCAATCAAGAATAGTTCAAAAAAATTTAATTCTTTTAGCTTTTGGGACTACAAAATTAAAGAATCGATAAAAACTATTGCTGTTATCAGTATTCGGTTTTATAATGTGGAAATTTTGATCATGCTGCATGCAGTGATGTCAAGAAAAAAGAATTGTGCACCGGATATACGGGATCTTATTAAGAAGCTGATTGGCGAAGGGAAAACCTACAGAGAAGTGCAAAACATTATTGATTGCTCCTCCACGAGGGTCCGAAACGCTAAAAAATACAAACCAGGTGTCGAAAAACGCGGGCGGAAACGTGTAATGCCCACTCCATTGGTTAAGGCTGCTGTAAAATACTCAAAGCAATATCCATTTGCGGCTGGCACCGAAATAAAAAAATATATAAATGCAAAAGCCAGCATACTTTTCGTGGTATGAAGTTGGACCCATTCATTGGATGCAGGAGGTCATGCTCCCATATGCTGGCAAGAAAATGCCACTGATTTGGACCTTTCAACAGTACAACGATCCGAAGTATACTAGCAAGCTTGTAAAGAAGTGATTTAGAGATAACCGAGTAAATGTTATGGAATGGCCTCCGCAGTATCCTCTCATTAAGGCGATAGAAAATTTGTGGACTGATGTAAAGAAATCGGTGTCTGACTGTTATCCTACAAATAATTGGCAGTTATGAGGCAGTTGAAAGGTGCTAAAAAGGTGCAACGCCGCTGTGCCGCCATAATTAATAAAAATTGTTATGTAACTAAATACTAAATTAATGTATAATATAATAAGTAGTTAATTGATAGCCAATGGAAAAAAGAATCATTTAATTCAACCTAAATGAAAAATTCTTTAAAATATGCCCTATAACGTGTAACTCTACTATGATTTTGACCGTTGAAAAGCTTAGATTAAAAAGTATTATTATTTTTTTTTTTTTTTTTATAACTTAATTAGTCTTTTACCTATTAAAAAATTAAAATTAAATGGGTTTTGGTAGGCAACTACATAATTTTTTTTCAACTGAATTTAGAGCTTGTACGCGCTTCTAAGATTATGGCCGCAGCTGTATGTACATATGTACGAAGTGTGTTCAAAAAGTATCGCGAATTTTGAATT